ACACAATTAATGTTATGTAGTTTCTATTACATCAACATTCCATCTTATACACACCTTTTCTTATCTATATGTGCTATATAATAGTAGATTTTATATATATTTAATCTCATTCAGTATGCACTACATAATTACCGTGTCTTACACACATATCTGATCCAACATGCACTACATGATACTGTATTTTATACACACTTACTTGGCAGATACACTTGACGCAAGGATCAGTCTCAGTAATGTCAATCTCTTCATTCTCAGAATACATGCGCTCACCCACGGTACAACCTGTAATGGGAAATATTAGATGTGTCAGTAACATTCAAAACTTTACAAATGTTTCGTTAATTCGACCCTACCTTTAACTACATTAGACTTATATCACATTTAAACCACATTTATATGATAATTTATATATATTCTTTGTGTTATTTCATTTGTTTTCTTGTTCGTTTAGGTTTTCTTATTGTATATGAAAAATTAAATTATTATTGTTACATCGCTATTGTATTAATTTTTTGTTTTACTTCAGATAAATAGAGATAACCCTGTTCTAGCTCTGATAACTTTATATCGTCACGATCCTCAAAACTTTTTTTTGAAATTAGAATAGAGACAAGTAAGAGCCGTAGTTAGTTCACGACATCATAATTATAATTTGTATGTTTGGTTTAGAATTTTTGAACTGAAATACCAGAGGAATGGCAGCTAGCCAACAACACCTATCGCCAACTTACTATTGTTTTCTGATTGAATAGTGGAATTTAACCACCAGAGGAATGGAAGCTAGCCAACAACACCTATCGCCAACATACTATTGTATTCAATCAGAAAAGTGGAATTTAACCACCAGAGGAATGGCAGCTAGCCAACAGCACCTATCGCCACACTTACTATTGTTTTCTGATTGAATAGTGGAATTTAACCACCAGAGGAATGGCAGCTAGCCAACAGCACCTATCGCCACACTTACTATTGTTTTCTGATTGAATAGTGGAATTTAACCGCCACTCTTATGGCGTACCCATGGCCTCAGAGTATTTACTGAGATTTTGCGGAAACGCAACGCGAACGCCGAATCTTAGGATTCACAGTACGTGAACTTTCATAGTTGGATCACGCCCGGTATTATTGCTGAGATCAGATGATAACGAGTCATTGAAACAGCTACTTAGAAAGTAGCTTATATAAGGATTTTATATAACAGAAATCAATTACTAATAGCTTTTAAAATTCAAGTTTATTTCAGATGCTTTTAACAGACTTAAATTATTTTTCTTTGTGTCAGCATAGTTTACACTTAGCAAAACCATTATTATATCTATATATTTTATTTCTTAGTAGCAGCAACGAATGGAAATCAGTTTCATGCAGCTTTTATATCTGGTGAGATATTACATGTAGTTTTTTTGCGGTCTGCACAACCATGAAACTTAGTTTTTACTACTTGCAAGAACTCTTTAGTGTTGTTAATTTTTAAGGCTTCTCTGTTTAAGGCTCAAACGCTTAGTTTGATATTCTCGTCCGTGGGTCGAGACTTTCGTTTGTTGTTGGAGCAACGCAACCTTATAAATTATGGCATGTTCATGAACCTAATTCTTTTGTTTCTTTTAGACCTTGCCGCCTTTCCTGTCGCTCTCTTTCAAACTACGCCCAACAAATACCTTTTCTCTCTCTCTTTGTTTTCTTCCCAGGACTTCAACGGAATGAAGAAAAATTACTTTGGTTCATGACTGAATAAAAGTTTTTACAGGTGCAGGTGTTTCATCACTCGGGGTTTACTAGTACTAAAAATCACCGGAAGGGGGTTATTAAAACAATTGAAGTAAAAAATGAAAAACAACTAAAAAAAAAAGACGCATGACAGCATCTCTATATTTGTTGCAAAAAACAAAAGTTTATAAACATAAACTTACCTTATGTTAATTCATTCCCGAGTTGACGCCTAAATAATTATGATTTTATACCTTACATCGAAATTGAACAACAAAATAAATTCTGTTTGTAACACATTTCACGAAACTGGTCTATAAATCTGTATTGATTAGTTATTATTCAACGTTATTTACTGTGTAAAATCTGTAACAACTAAATATTTCTAACAAGGGAAAGATTGGTACGCCATATAATGGAGTTATTCTTTTTTTCATTTGTTATAATACTGTTATATGCTTCAGGATTTGTTCATTCATCCGAGGACACCGAACAACATACCTTAGACTCTTAGCAAATAAGGAAGTCATTTCGCGGTCGTCTGAACAAAGAAGTGCTGATAAAACATTGTTTATTACATTCTGAATACAAAAGAAGACACTGAGGAGGGACTACATCTGGTGATTTGAAAGCACAATAAACAAGAGGCAAAAGTCACCTCAGCTCATCTAACCAAAGAAAATCCATTAGGCAAACAATTACATATAGCTATCTAACTTTGATTGGACTGGTTAAGGACTACACTTAAGTGAGAACAAACGAAACAGTAAACAATCATAACCTGTGGCTATATGAACACAGAACAAACACTGAAAGAATTATATATGGTCATCTGATTGCAGAAGGTATGATAGGAAAAGGTTAATTTTAGTCATCCGAAAAAGAAATAACTCTGGCGAAAGGTTAGATTTGGTCATTTGAATACTGAACGAACAATTAGGACAGGTCAGACTAGAGGATTTAAGTATAGAGAGTTCTATACCCAAATGACCAAATGCAACTTTTCCCAGGGTTCGAACCCTGGGGAAAGATCACGTTTGATGACCTGAATACAGAAGAATCCCTTTGAAAGGTTGCATTTGGTCATCTGTATATGAATGGAACATGGTGTATAGGTTACATTTGGTCATCTGTATATGAATGGAACATGGTGTATAGGTTACATTTGGTCATCTGTATATGAAAGGAACATGGTGTATAGGTTACATTTGGTCATCTGTATATGAAATGAACATGGTGTATAGGTTACATTTGGTCATCTGTCGAGGGAGAAGTGCTCTGTACGCTGCCTGCCGTTCTCGTTAAATTTATATTTTTATTATTTCGCTAACTGTAGTTAATGAGCATTTATACTGCTTGTAAGAAAGTCGGGAATCAACTTTCAACCAATCAACATTGCTGAAATTTAGTGTTTCGACCAATTAGCGCTGAACATTGCAATCCAAAGGCGGGTATTCATTGTTTATTCAACCTGTCATTGATCACATCAGTACCATGCATTGCTGTATGAGTGATAGCGTTTACTGCATAAACCTGCTAGCAGTTGGTTTCACTGTAATAACTGTACTGGATGACATTAAATATCTGTAACATACAGAAACACATTTATGACTGTAGAGAATAAAGAATTAACTGTTAACCTAAGTAAAATATTTCTTAGTACACAAACCATAAAGCTGCCTATGCGTTCCTTTTAACCATAGTAAAGGAAGTACTGAGATAATAAGGTTCTGCGTTAAGTTGATCAACAAGGCTCAGCGTGCTGCATTCAAACATAATTTAGAGGTATCTCAGCCAAAAAAGGATAATCAAAACACCAGATCGCTACAGGCAGACAACAGAATTAGACGACATTTGTTTGGAATCTAGAGAAGCATCGTGGAAGCGTGAATTTTATGAAGCTCTGAATATGGCGGCAGTCAAGCTTTAACAACACTTCAGCCAAGGGGGCATGCACATTGTAGACCAAAGGGAGAAAGTCCTGCTGAGTTTGGCGTCAACAACGTCACAGTCTGGAATCTTAAAGATGACACACTACCCCCACTGCTACAAGAGATTAATAGGCAGGTGCTACAACTTCAGTAACTACAGTATTGGCCCGATTATACGGCGATATTTTTTTTATTAAGAATTACTGTAAACATCATAGTTGCCTTATAATCGCAGCCGACCACAGACCCCATTTCCCCTACTCAAGCCTGTCGCATTTCTGAATGTCCAGATAGCATTTGTCTATGCATGCGCGCCAGATGTTCGCTCAAGATCATCGCTAATTCTTGCAACTAATTCACCTGGCTACTTCAGGCTATTCAGTTATAGTATTGATTTTGCGGACCTTAAAAAAAGGACTTTATGACAATCTTTTTTTTTCTTTCCCATGATTTCTGAAAATAGGGGTCGCCGTATATTCGGATAATCGGGCCAGTGCTGTAATACTGGGTGATTTAACCTGGAAGTAGGATCGAAGAATGCGATTGATTTGGTTTATTTTTTAGCACCCCTACAGCTACAAACCCAGCAGCTGTTAAAGGAGGTTGACAGTGTGATACAACTGTGTCTTGATTTACTGGAATCTCTTGCAGGGTCAGAACGATTCTTTTCTGCTCTGAGATGCCTTAAAATTTGGCTACGCTGTATAATGATTGAAAATGATTAATAAATCTTGCTCTAATGCATGTTCACTGTGAAATACTTGGCAATCCAGATGTTGCTTCCTTCATGAGAAATTTTGTAAGTATGACACCGAAGCATAAGTCAGTTTTTATAATATATAAATATAATATAATATAAAAATGTCAATAAGCTAGCTTAAAACATTCTAGCCTGCATATGCTGTGTTTGAAATCAACATGTAAACTTTTAGGATACTGTTTTTTTAGTTGTTGCAAACATTTAGATGTTTGTTATTTTTGATAGACTACACATTGTAAACAGTAGACTGCAATAGTAAACAACTGTTCAGTTTTTGAACTGACATAACGTATCAAACAAAAAGTATTTTAGTGCCGAAGCTGAATGCTCTATATTTTTATGTTATTATTTTCAAAATACATCTAAGTAGGTCGTTTCATTTTATTTATGTAACATATACTTTGCATAGATAACGCATTGTCTTGTTAGTTTTTTTTTAATGTTACATGAAACGTGTATTTTTTTACTCGTGTTTCTGAGTTTTCATTTCCTGCCACTTATAAAACTCTTTTGGCATGATCTGTGTTTATGATTATGAAGACCATATTCTATATATTTAAAATCATTTTAAAATTAGTTTTAAACTCTGGTAATCTAAGCAGAGAAGAGACAACCATAAAACACTTTAGCCTTCTAAACATAGAAAGAATACTAAACAAATTATAGGAAAAATATTTTGAGGCGAGAAGCTAAATGATGAAAAGTCTAACATCATTCAAAAACTATACTGGGAGACCAGAATAACTTTCTTATTTCATTCCTGTAAAAGCTATTTTGATTGTTTTTTTTATTATATTAAAACACTGTTCTCACATTGTTCCAATTCAGATTGGCCAAAAATAAAACCCTGCTTCTGGTATGATCTTCCTCATCTACTTTAAACT